AGGTGCGACCCGGCTCCTTACCTCCGTCCGCCATCCCCCGCTACTTTACCTTAGCTCGCCAGGTATGTGCGTTGCCGGCGAAGCATCGGAGTCTTGAGTGGTTGATGATGGAAAGCGCGACATTGCAATATGAGAAGCACGTTCATCTTGCGGCAGCTAAAACATTGAAGCTTCCCTACTCGGCTGGGTACTAAATCGTCGTCATGCATGTACGGTGTGCTTTACTCTCATACGCACCCGGTCTGCATGCCACGCGCTGAGTACCATTTCAGAGGCACATATCAGAGACATGCGTGCAGACCTTCTTAACACGAGCGAGAGGAAGCTTCCGACTAGGGGCTGCCGTCCCGTAACGCAACGCAAACGAGGGTACCCGAGCAAATTATCCTCTACAACCAGAGTAGAGCGACAATAACGCGTAAACAACCTTGAAGAGCGAGGATGCGGCTTACGACAGGTAGGTCATTCGGTTGCAGGTATCCAGGGCCCCGAGTCTGGTCCGCCGGTACGCGTACGAGCAATAAGGCTGTGTCCAACTACCTATGCCATCTCTTCAGGTCTGTGTACGGTAAGCCATGTCCGATGTCCGGTGATGTCTTCTGAATGTCTACCTGACCTTCAGGTGAGATCCCTAATTCCCAAACCCTGTCCAGGTACCTACCGAGCTTACTTTGCCCTGGACGCAAACAAGCTCACTTACCTTGTATTTGGAGAGCGAGCAGTCAATATCGCAATCTCCCCATCCTCAAGCACAGCCTCAGGGGGACTCCCCAACTGACGTATTGCTCCTACCGCTCGGAGACAACAAGGGTCCCGAAGCCGCCACTGGCAGCCAGGCATTTTTCATGTCAATGGCCGACTCACTGAGCAATAATCAAAAAGCGCAACGGATGAGCAGAAATGCTTGAGAAAAGGGAGCTTCATAAAGGCCTGGTATGTTGTTGCTTCGAGAGGAACGCCCAGGCCTTGGTCTGCGCTCCTTCCGCATCACCTTAGTAAGTGACTCGGGAAACGTGACCTGGACGGGCCCGCGGGTACTCGGAAGGCCGGCCGATATAGATGTAGTTTCAAGTACATGTCGCTAGATGATGAGCGGGAAAGCACTTTCGACTACACCAACCACTCCCGAACACCCAAGCCCTTAGTCCAGCTCCAGCACTGGCCACCACTCTCATGTAGGTACACCTACTAAGAAGCGGCGTGCGGCGTGCCTGCACAGGAATGGAACTTGTCAAGCGGCGAGCCCAGACCAACAGCGGGCTATCAGATGCTGCTCTACATACGAGAGCCTCCCAGCGAGACATACTCTTCTTGTACTTCTCCTCGTCCGGAGAGATATGCAAATACCAACGAGGCAAGCAACATTGGACGGACAGGCGTCATTTTCAGCGCTTTTTGAGCCAGGCAAGTTTCTTGGCTCCTCACCTTGAGGTCAGAGGCCTGAGAATGGGATAACTTCCCTATCTGTACTTACTTGAGCTTCGTCAGAAGCTCGATCACAGACTAGGATTTTGTCTGGCTGATTAGGGTCTAGCAAACGCCCCACCTACTCACGTTCTCTCGAGTCTCCAGTCTTCAGTCGCCAGCGCGTTGCACTGCCCACCGCCCACGGTCGATGAGACCCTCCCTCGTTTCGCTCAGGCGATCCTGAATTCCTAGTGCTGGGCACGCGACTGACAGCCAACACGGGTCGATCTCTGCTGCCTGTCCCATCATATACTGCGCGTCGTTGCGGGATGCATCATCGACCAACGCCTAGGTCTTTGTCAACTTCATGTCCACGCATAGCTTGAAGCCAAGAACGGCACATGAGTACCGCAGACCGAATACTGCAAAACACAGCTTTCATTACCATCTGCGGGAGGCTACGACTCGAGTCAACACCAGGCCAGCACAAGTTGTTATGGACGTTGCTTGTTCTCATTGGCTTGTCATCGTCGTCATGATATCAGTGTGGTCAGCGTTTCTGCCGCATCCTAACCCAAAGGCAACCCTTGCGGAACCTAACGCAGCCTGGTGTGAGGCTGACAAAGATTCCTATTGTCCTCATTATCCAACATCGAACACCAACTTATATGGCCCGGGAGCAATGCAGGTCTGTTAACCGGTGACGAGTAGACCCGGCTTCTCACTAGCCGGCAGTCGTGTTACCAGCGCTTAGTCGGGCGACTTCTGACCGCCGTTGAGCCACCCACGACGTTGACTTTTCCAGCATATTTCAACAATCTTCATCTTCGTGATAGTAGTCCGTACAAAATATAGGTTACTTCAGCACGCTCCCGACTCAAGTCCCGACGATTTTGGTATCGACTACTGCTTTTACTCAAGAATGCAACCCCCTTCCTTGCTGCATGTCCCATCTGGAAAGAGAAAATCGGCCGGGCGCAACAAAACGAACACCGCGACTTCCCAAACGGTCACTCCCCGACGTGTTGGAGCTTCAACTGAACTTTCGCATTTTGCCTTGAGGTTGGCCAACATCCCTGAACCCATGGACCAACGCCTTCCGCTTTGCGTCTCAAATACTAGGCGTGGCGTAAGGGAGCTCGAGCCTCGAGCGAAGGCTTCCCGAATCCCACCACGCCATTCATCCACGGACCACAGCCGTCGTCTGGCCAGTTACTGTCACGGAGAATTGGTCGTCTTCTGCTCCAATTCTTTGGCTCTTTGATAGGGCTACATCGGCGCGCCGGCACTTCACAGTGTAGTCCTGGCCAGGGCACTAGTCATTGGCTTCACTTGTTGCCCTCTACCATCGCTGGGAGTGATTCTTTCACTACTACATACTACAGGACATTACGACCTCGAACGCCATGTACAGCGGCGTGGCTTGATGAGGGCAACTGACACATGTCAAGCAAACACCACCACGATGGGTTAGGGCTTCCCTCGTAGACCAGAGAAAACCTGGTCCTGTCTTAGACGCTTACCCTCGATGATGTTCCCGAGACAGGGAAGATGCCTTTAAGTGTATCGTCGCCTGGAAACAGGACCAGGCGCTGGCACGAGTGTGGTTGCTTGATCTGCATCCAGCGAAAAAAAGAAGGTGCCCGCGCTCTACCCACAGAGGGCCGACTGCAGATGTGCGTCCCCCCTTGGCGAATAGACTCGCAGAAGACGGTTACTACGCCCGCTCGAATGTGCGTTGGTTCCTGGTGCCGCCCAACGTTAGCACTGGAAAAGCACCTGATCAGTTTTGATGAGAGGTCGGACTGGGCCCCTTTCAACGCCGATATGCAACGCGAACCCGGCCTTGACCAAACCACCAAACTAGCCGCCGTTCTCGCCGTCTAGCCTGGAGAAGGGGACATGTCGATCGATGATCCTGGAATGAACGTTTCAACCTCGAACTGTTCCTCCACACACCGGCACTCGGACCAAGAAAAATAAGTGCAACGACGAGCCATGCTGGTGTTCTCTGGGGGCGTCCTGGGAGCCAACCTGGCTGGCGAAATATGACTGACAAACCTTCTCTGGACGAGGCGCACTGGTCTACGGTGACAAACGTTTTTCTTTGCACCTATCCATACGGAGCGAGCAGTACCCTGATGCAAGGGCTACGACGCTGAACACGTTCGTGTGCCGGACCCGCCGGAAGACGCATGTTGGGCAATGGGCCGTGGTTTAGAGTGTGCATCGGTAGTGTTGACCCCTCCCATGGATGATGTTTCCCTTTCTTTCCCCTGCCACCTTCTGAAGCGTCCCTCGCTATCAGTTTATCAAAGCAGCTAATCAAACAAAACCGGCTTTTGCTGGGTCGTCTATCTGTGTTTGACCAACAGCACTTTGCGAGAAAAGAGGAAGAGACGGACGGCAGAATTTTAGACTTTGTCAGATCCGCCCACTAGAAGATCTCTGACCAACCCAACTTTGGCACGAAAGGGAATATGCCTCAGTCTCGCATATAGCGGAATCCACTCTCCATGCTTCGGTTGACTTTTTTTTTTTTCCATCTTTCGCAGTACGGATACAGTATTCCTTTTCTCCATGTACAGTCATCACCAGTGTTGCTTCTGCGGATACAGATCTTCGTTGAGCCCCCCACCCCCCACCCACATATAACACGAACTTGAAGCGCGGGAAACCCGACAGGTATTACTCTGAGCGAGGTTCGCAATGACTTCATAGAAACCCCGCTGGGCGTTGTTTCTTCTCCGTGGTGTTGTTATATCCCCTTAGGTAAAAAAGCAACTGGAGTCCTACTTGACGGGTCCTAAGTCCGCTTCTTTATGTACCGAATCGTGCCTCTCCCTTCGAGCCTACCTAAAAGGATAGCCCTCATGGTGACCATCACTTTTTGTGTCCTGACTTGAGCGAACGGACACAATAGTCCGGGTGCTGAGAGCGGAAACATAGTCACAAAGGTCAAGCAAGAGCAAGGACGAGGTAAATTGGAAAACGGAAAGAAATCTACAGACGACGCTCCGAGAGCCCCAAAGTCCGTGCTCGTTTGTGCAAAGTCCATCCTTTTTCTACAGTACCTTTCCATTGACTGGGGAAACTCAATCGTTGTGATGTCGTCCTTTCTTTCACCTTTCTCATGAGGCAAAGGATAAACTTCGTCACGATTTGGGTTTATTCGCCGAGACCTAGTCACTTATGCGACGCTGTCTCGTGTTTTCTAGATAGTTTCCTTCTTGGATCTCTACCTCGCTCATTCTTCCCAAATGTCTCGTACGGACATTTTCATCTTGTTCCACACTGGGCAAATCACCGGAAGGTGAAAGACATAGACTGAATGACTGCAAGTGGATTTTGCTGATTATAAAACGTACACGCAGTGCTGCTGATTACCGCTAGTGACTAGGTATTCACTACCATTCCCCTCCATCCGGTTGTTCTTTGCCGAAACTCCGTCCCATCAATAAAGACTTTTTAATCCTTCCCCCCTAAAGAAGAGTTCCGAAAGCTGTTTCCCAGCTTTCTCCGACGCCAATCCGCCAATTCCGATACCGCATAATAAAGCCTGTCTCATATCGAGACCAAAAGCTCGACGTTCTTCATCGATAGACTGGGCGAGGAGCCTCGTCGGTGTAGTACACGGGCCGATCAATGTATGACACTTCCGGCTCGCCCCGTGCGGGGACCGGCTGTCCGTAGTAAGGCTGCTGCTCCACCGGCCTGGCACTATACTCCCGCCGCAGCACCTGAGGCTCGGCAGGCCGCACGCTGTAGGACCGAGGTCCAGGGTGAATCATCTCCCGACGGGGGTCGGGGTGCATGGGTGTCGAAGCGTAGTCCTGGATGGGAATCTGCTCCGGCCTCACACTTTGAACTCTTCCGTACTCTCGCGGAAGCTCATAGCGTACCGCCGTCTCCGCAGGGCGGGCTGTTGTCGCCCGCATCATATACTCTCTTGGAGCCTCCTCAATAATCCTCCGCTGTTCCATATCACCTCTGGCAGGGATGAATTCTTGGCCCGGGGGTGCCATTGGCCTCGTAGAATACTCTCGCTGTCTGTAGATTCGTTGAGGGTCTGCAACGTACTCGGGTTGTGTGACGACTCTCCTCGGTGCTGCGTACACTGGCGAGGTCCGCTGGTAGAGGACGTCGTCGTCTCGAGGGGGTGGGCCTGGTCGCCTAGACTCTGCTCGAATGGGTGCTCTTTCGTAAATGACCTCCGGCTCGCCAGGTCGCAGTGGTGAGGGCGCAACAGACTGACGGACAACAGTCGATGGTTCGTAGTATCGACGGCCAGTAGCGGGGTCTACCACAACCCTACCGGACTGCGCTTTGGGTGGTCCCATTAGCGGGGATGCCCTCTCTCTCATGATGGGTGAGCGAGATCTTGCGCGATCTGTCATGGGACGAGTGCTTATGCGCGTCACTTCGTAACCATCACGATAGTATCGTGCAGGTTCCCTACCGTAGCGGTCGACACTAGCTGGAGATGTTGCGTACACCTCACTTGGCGTAGCATGAACAGCATAGACACCAGGCGACGGCACATGCCGCACATACTCGGCGCCGCTGATAACGCGGGGCTCCTCAATGTACTCTCTTCCATACCCATAGTCACCAATCGCCGCGGCTTGGCTCGCTGGCCGTGGACGGTACTCTTGCGTATCGTACATGGGCGCAGCACCTTCCTCTCTGTATGATCGAGAAAATTGACGCTCAGGCTGGGTGTAACGAGGCTCCTCGTCACCCTGTCTTCTTTGGCGCTTCTGTGGCCGAATGAAAGACGGCGCATTCATCGGAGACGGCGATCGCGGTTCTGGCTTGATGTAAGGCTCGTCTGGCGCTTGCCTGGCTGCCCTCTTGCCGTTCTTCTTCTTCTTCCCCTTCCGCTTCTCCCCGCTTCTACCCCCTTGCGGCGAGCTATCTGGACTGGAAATAATATTGGGCTCATTGCGTAGTGCTGCAACTTGAGCTGTGGTTCCTTGAGGGATGGTCAAGTCTTGAGCATCCGCTGCTTGACCTCTGGCCATTGCAAGAGGCGAGACATGGGAGGGCTGGGGCGCTAAGGGGGATATGTTGTGGGCGCGAACCTGTATCAAAGGCGAGGGTTGGCGAGCGAGCATAGACTCCCTAAGTTGCTGTTGACCTGCGGCAGGGACAGATCTATCAGCACTGTCGTCAAGGTCCATAACGCCTGACTCCTCAGAACGACTGGTGTTTCCGCTCCCACCTCCTGATGTAGACAACCCCGTATTATCACCCATATCCATTCTTTGCGTCGTTCCTACCGACGGGTATCGCGAAAATTCGGGTGCGGCATCGGGTCTGCTTGGAACTGGTCGCGACTGGGAGGGATTGGAGCTCAAGGCTTGGCCCTGTGGCTGATGAGTAGCAGAGGCATGGAGTCTTGAGGACTGCAGGCCAGCTTGGGTCTTCTGCTTTGCTTGTACTTGCGCCTGATCTTCGAATGGCTGGCCTGTGGTGGAAGCCTTCTGTGTTTGTGCCGTGACTTCGGCATCGTTACCGCCGCGTGAACTGCGGTGTGAGGAATCTGGCGAATTGACTTGGGAAGAATAGTAAGAGTTCTCATCAACGGAGTCACTTGCAGCTGAAATGTTAGCAGCAGCCAGTGTAGCATTGACAGACGAAGGAGCAGCAGCTTGGACCAGAGTCAGAGCCTTGGACAGGACGTCGGAGAGGTCAAAGTCGGCCAGAGGCTCCGACTGCGCCGAGGCCTTCATAGAAGCCCGACGTTGATCGACCTCGTCGCGAAGTGCCCGTTCAAGGCGTTGCCTCTGGAGCTGTATCTCGGCCTTGATGAGATCATCAGACTTTTGAAGAAAAATAGGATTGATCTCGGTTTTGCCAGAGCCAACGAACGGTCTTGCAGGCAGGTTCGCATTAGCAGGGGGCGGGTTTCCTAAACCAGGAAGAGAAGCTTGTGGCGTGTTGGTCGCGAACGACTGCAGATTCCCAGCTTGATAAACCTGCGCTGTGCTTCCATTCGTCTCTTTTGCTGGTGTAGAAGGGTTTGATGAAGATGCTATGGCAGGAGTCGATGTTTGGCTCGCCAACTGGGCTGGCACTTTGATCTTGGAATGCGAGCCAGCAAGAATGGCATCGCGAAACTGCACGATTCTCTCGTACTGTTGTATCTGGTGTAGCTCATCTCTTGAAAGACCCGAAAAAGTCCCATTTGCCAACGGCGGTAGTGATGCGAGCTGGCCTTGAGCCATGGCGAAATGCAATTTGCGCAAGGAAATCCTCCGCAGCCAAGCAAGAAAGCGCGAAAAGAAAGGAATTCAAGAAGACAAACAGAACTACCAATATCGTGAGAATCAGCACTGTTGACTATACCCGAAGCGTAGCAGACTAAAGCGCAGTAATTTCTGCAGTGTCGTAGAAGATGAAGAAAAGGCGTCGTGCCGCTGGTGGATGTTGAGAGGAAAAGGAATGGGTCGTGGGCCATCTGTAGTGGTTTCTTTCTGAACTTTTCCTACAAGGATAAATCCTTATAAGAATCTTGCGGATCAGTTGTGGGCCTGGATGGGTGATTCAGGCTTGGGTGGGCCATGCAGCTAAGCGAGTATGTCACCAGCTTCCCAGCCTCGGCGTATTTTGGTCATAGTCACCACTAATGTTTTCGCGCCAAGGTCCCCGACAGCCGGAAACAGCTCCCTGTACCTTAGCTTCCTGTAATTACCTCAACAGCGTAACGAGGTATATCGGCGTGAGTCAACAACACTACCTTACATACTGCTGCCAAAGTATCGCGAAAAGCCTCAAAAAGCCCCAAGCTGCATTTGTAAGCCAGAAACGGGGTATTCCAACTTTGAGTCCAAGGAAAAGAAACATAAGTGTCAAACTCCAGACCAACGTGGTTTCGCTTGCTTCATGCCGATCAGACTCCCACCAAACATACCTCGAAGCTTCTCTTCTTCAGCCCGACTTCGGTCCTTTCCTTCACCAAAGACCCGGCCTTACACAACAAGGCGCGGCATTGAGCATTGCAAGCCCCTTTTGTTTTCACCCTCCATTCCCAGACATACAATAGACGGCGCCTGCTATACGACATCAGCCATGAATACCAGCAAAACCCACACAAATGGAGTGTCAACTTCAAAGCCTGTGCTGTTTTTGTAAGTTGAACCTCACCAATGCGGATAAACATTTTGACTAACAACCGCATAGTGACATTGATAACTGCCTCTACCCGAGGAGTGAGTTCTGGAAGACATTCGGGACGGCATCATCAAGACTGACTCTCACTAGGTTCAAAAGTCCAGGACCACATGGCACAGCTAATTGACGAGTACTTCGTAAAGCACCTTTCCCTCCAGTGGGACGATGCCGTGAAATTGCACAAGGAGTATTACACCAACTACGGCCTTGCGATTGAAGGCCTGGTTCGCCACCATGAGATCGACCCTCTAGAATACAACGCCCAGGTCGACGACGCCCTGCCTCTTGAGGATATCCTCAGTCCGAACCCTGAGCTGCGCGAACTGCTCGAAGATGTCGATAAGAGCAAGTGTACCATGTGGCTCCTCACCAACGCCTACGTAAACCACGCTAAGCGCGTGACCAAGCTGCTGGGTATTGACGATCTCTTTGATGGCCTCACTTTCTGCGACTATGGACAGGCACCGCTTGTCTGCAAGCCTGCCAAGGAGATGTACTTGAGGGCTATGCGTGAGGCGGGCGTCGAGAAGATGGAGGATTGCTACTTTGTTGGTATGTCATTATTCGTTCACTGACAAAGGATCCGACGCTGAACATCTGCCATAGACGACTCTTACCTGAACTGCCAAAAGGCCCAGGGCTATGGGTGGAACGTAGCCCATCTCGTCGAGGAGGATCTCCCTGTGCCGAAGACGCCTGCATCCGCTCATCAGATCCGTCACCTCAGGGAGCTGCGAGACACCTTTCCTCAATTCTTCAAGTCCAAGAACGCTTAGACTATTATAACTTTGGACAATGATTGAACGACAGTGGACGGAAATGAATAGAGGGCGAAGGAGGATATAAGCCAGAGAGATAAAAGGCTCGGAAACACATTTTTTGTGTTGGATTGGGTATCGCTAATTCATAGATATCCTTAAACTTGAATACCCCCCGTTTGACCCATTTTCAACGCCCAAAACACCCCAAATGCAATGCTGTCCTGGTGATCGATGTGATGGTTCATGGCCGTCGAACACTTCTAATCACTTCATCAAGCTTCGCCAGAATCTGGTCCTTCTCTCGTATCGCATCCTGCCTCTGACTCTCTGCGACCTTGAGCTCATCCTCCAGCTCCTGAATATAGCGCTCCTGGTCGGCTTCGCTACTGTCCAAACCCGGCAGGCTGGAAATAAGGACCTCGATTTGTTGTTCCTTGATGATGAGGTCGCGCGACAGCTCAGCTAGGCCGTCCTTGAATTCGTCTGCGGGGAGAGGATCGACTGCGAGCGAGCTTGTTTAGCATTTGTCCTTCGTGCTGGGACCTATCATGATAGAATAACCTACCTTCTTTCTGTTCCGGATCCTGTTTGACCTCTCTAATTTTATCGTTGGGTCCGAGCAGCTCGAGATCGTGGCGCCGGTGGACGAAGTGGAAGCTTGCGACGAATTGCTGGGCAAGCTGTCGGCAGAAGTTAGTACTTGCCAGAGGAGCGGATCAGAGATGGGAAATAAAGATCAACATACCTGGTCCACAGCGTCTTGCAATTGAGTAAGTCTGTCGCCCATGGCACCGGTGACGCAGTAAGTTCGTGCGATGTGGTGGGTTGTAGTGGTGAAGTTAACAGTGACAAACAACCTTGGAGGTTGTGAATGCGACGCGGGAGGTTGTTCTGTGGGCCAGCTGCTAAGGTATGCACCTAGGCGTGAACGCACTGGCCAGCCCAGGGTCGCAAGCCTGCTGCGGTACGTACCTTTTTCAACTGTTGCGAACCTCTTGATCTGAGTGTACTTAATTGAGAACAACAGGAAAGATTCCTTCAACACTCGCAATATGTGAACCTACCTACCAATTCCATGAAATCCTGACACTGGATTCAAAAATTCCAAGAGTATGCAAGCTCTACTACGCTCATTACCTCGGCATTTGTCTTGCCATAATCGACTTGCTATCTCATCAATCCTGTCAGCTCCCCTGTCGACATGTCCATCATTAAGAAAACGACAAGAGAAGGGTCTGGAGTTGCTATACCCTGATGCTCCATCAATAAACCATCATGATATGACATCCTTCCTTGCGTACGCAAACCGTACTGGACTCGATGTGGCATCAACAGTCTACGTCGGAACCCACTACGAGTACACAGTCTCCTCGGCACTCGCCCAATACGGCATCCACGCTATTCGTGTAGGCGGAGCATCCGACCAGGGCATCGACCTCCTCGGCACCTGGAGTCTTCCCTCCCGGGCCGAGAATCTGAAGGTCATCATTCAGTGTAAAGGAGGTGCCCAACGCGTCGGCCCTTCGATAGTTAGGGAATTGGAAGGTTCCTTCATCGGCGCCCCGGTGGGTTGGCGTGGCGAAGGAGTCATTGCCTTCCTGGTCAGCGAGAAGCCAGCAAGCAAGGGCGTGCGAGAGTCTCTGGGACGAAGCCGCTGGCCCATGGGCTTCATCTCGTGCTCCAGGGAGGGGTTAGTGCAGCAGATGCTCTGGAATCAACGGGCCGACGAGGAGGGTCTGCGAGGTATTGGGGTGACAATGCGCCATACCGAGAACGGAGAGGGCGAGTCGCAGATTGTCTTGACACACAACGGAAAGCGAATCCCCCAAGCTTCCAAAGCAAAAGTTTCCGAGGGTGACTGAAGTCTTGGTTCAACTATTGAGCATTCAACTTTAGACACTAAGCCAGCGAGATACACCGCACAGGGGTGGGTAAATCCGCTGGAAGGCACTTGTCGGAAATCAACACGGACGCTAGAGTACCATACTTCTTCATTTGAGACGAAGAGTCAAGTGGCCATGTACTGGGGCTCTAGCAATGTTGCATTGCGAACAAATACTTAACTTCATCTTATATTGCACAGCAGAAAACGGCCTGATACTGCACAATACCGTATATTCCGATATGCTGTGCCATCATCTCTGACTGAAACAGGATCACGACGCTGAGAGGCATTTGAGCTATCTCTAGAAGCCGTGATGGAGGAAGCATTTGAATGCAGGGAGGCACAGTGGTAGTTGCCAGACAGCACATGGCCCTAGGGCTGTAATCAGTTCGCATATAGGAACTCTGTCTCTCTCTATCTAACTATGCTCATAGAATACCGAGGTGATCGAAGCTACCATAACATCATTTTCATTCCACATTACCTTCAGTCACCAAGGCTTAAGTCCTTGCCCGCCAGATCTCACTTGGCTTCTATCACCCCTTCTTCGACAACGAACCCAGCACCTTCATTCCCGCCACAAAAACTCACTATCGTCTTGTCGGCCCGAGACTCCAATTCCTCGAGTTGTATAACAGGTATTGATTGGCTGCTGTGTCGATTCTCGTTTCTCTCATTCGAGCTTTGTTCCTCCGATATGTTGTAAAATAGCAGAGGTAGGATTGACGACTTCCAGATGGGTTGCCTCCCACTGTCTCGGCAACTCTGAACATACGCGGCCACGAGCAGTGCTGATGTCAAGGCCAGAAGAGCTGCAGGGTAAAGTAGCCACCATCCCTCAAACCTTACACAAATCGAGGTTTGATTGCAGATTCCCTCCTTATAGCTGTTTGATGTATCCGTCTCCGAAAAAGTCAGTCCATTCTGACGCATTCGATTCGTAATGGCGATAGACATGTTGTCGTGAGCAGCCGCAAGGCTGTCAAATGTGGCCATCCCTCCACTGTAGAGAGCGTCAAGCCACCAACCTGTTTCGCATTGTAGCTGACTGGAGTTTCCGATTCCATTGACGGCTTCAGAAGATGTTGGTCCATTTTCGGTGACGTCGTAGAGTTTGCAATGTCCTTTCAGTTTGTCCTCGAAGAATAATCTAATACCATGGAACTCGCGGTAGTCCATGGCTCTGACACACTGAGGCGGAGCCTCCTTTGTAACTCCATCTGAGGTCCACGAGGTCCAAGGTAGGCCATCTCGAGGGGCGTCTGTAATGTTGGACACACCGTATGATTTGTTGTCAATAATGCAAGGCTGGATCACTGAAGCGTAACCAATGCCGCTCGACGTTTTAGACATTGGCTCCGTCGATATTAATTGCTCATTCAGGGTACCATTCGTGACATTTCCATTGTAATGACGGAGACAAGGATAGAGACTGCAGTTGACAGCCACAATATAAAGGTCAGAGCTGAGTCTCGGCATATTCTTATAGTCATGCTCGCAGTATCGATCGGCCGGGGCATCTGGGTTACGCTGCGCAACGCAACCTGCCACCGAGAGCGTCAGGAAGGACGTGACGATAGGGTTTTCATGTGTGTAATCAATGACTGTTGTTGCATTGAACAATTCCGGTTCAACGCCAGTGTTGATGGAGAAATTCGAATCCTTGTGGAAGCGATAAATGTTACGATATCGGCCGAACAATTTTGTCTTTGAGTCTTCAAACTCTAACAAGTCGGACTTCACGTCGGTACACTTGCTGCAAACCCCGACGGACGAGTGCGTGACTCCAGAAACTTTTTGGAACACACAGTTACCCGACTCGCACTCGGATAGCTGAGAGCTGTCGGGAGGTATACCGAGTAAGCCGTTAATAATGGCGGTGCTCATCTTCGCGTTGGTATCTGCTCCACTGATCATAGAATCGTGCCTCGCAACCCGCTCGGCTATTGAGATACGAGCAGTGCACTCAGATGAGACCTCGCAGGAATATGTTTTGACAGCTTGCTGAGAGAGAGGGCCAGTGGCGTATGAGGCGATCACAACCAGAGCGCCAAGTAGCGTTGTGTTCCTGTTATAAGTGTTACTGGAAATACCATCTATTTATGAATAAGATTATAGCATACGGCTTGGGGATGGTTACTAGGAACTTCAACGATCCCCAAGCACCTTTGCCAGCATTGTCAAAATGTTCGACATGCCGCAGGGGACGCGGCGCCGCCATCCATAACCACTTAGCTTGTCCAATGACTGAATTCATCAGTATATTTTCCTCTTAATAATGAGGGAAATATTATCTACCTTGCGACAAAACGAACAGCATCGCGGCTCTCAGGAGCGTGGTCAATATGGCAACAAGTGTGTTAATACTAACACTGTATGCCCAAGCCGGCTGTAATTTCCCATTGCTGAACACTAAGAGAATGACCATAACAACAAAGGCGAAAACAGAAGTCAAGAGTGCCGTAAACTCGAGGTTCCATTGTTTCAAGGTTGAAACTCTGCCGAGGGGCTGATGAAGTAGGCCGTTCTTCTCAGCTTGATTGAGATTCCCCTCATCGATGCCCTTGGGACAAGCTGATGAAAGCCCGTTGATTTCATCTCGGGACTCCTCCTCGGAGGGAACAATAGTATAGTCACTTATCGAAGTATCGTTCTGGAAAGTGTCGGGCTGCTGGTTTGATATGTTTCTGCCGTGATGCACTTCATCTGTGAACGATACAGACGAAGGTCTGGGAGACGACTCATCTCCAGCGGTGTGGGGAGAGTCTTGGTAAGGTGCCATTGCGAGACGTCACAAATATTTTAAGACACTAGAGGTGAAGACTGGACTTGATAGAGGGGACCGAGTCTTTATGTGCGGACGCATCAGAGATGCATATCGTGGATCAGGCTGAGCCCGTGGGGGCCTCGATGACATGCATAAGCTCATGGCCTTTTCGTCCCGTGGCGAGGAGGACTTGGCTGCATGTTGGATGTTTCTGACGATTGGCACGATAAAGCTGCACTGCCCATCTGCGGTACAACAACAGATCTAATTGTGGTTCTCATGTGGATGACGCAGGCTGGCAAGCTGAGCATGCAATCACAGCCAGCCTTCTGCCTGAATGACGCCCTACTGCGTTCGTAACCGCTACAGCGGACCTAACAACCATCAGTGGTAAAGGAGAGACTGCGAAAATTCGGTACAAACCTGGGATATTTCCAGATAAACGGCCTAAATTGAGAGAGACAATCGTCAACTAGATCTTGCCTGAGGGAAATCTGAACCAAATTGCGAATTACCAACGGAAGTGAGTGATCCCATACTCTTCTATTGTAAAGAAGAAGAAGAAGAAGAAGAAGAAGAAGAAGAAGAAGAAGATGTTTGCTTTTAATTAGTTGCTTTAATGGTCTGCCGAGTGAAAGCCCTTCTATCGTCTTAGAAGAAAATCACTTATCAACCTAGAAGTCCCAACTTGAATACCCAGCATGGCAGGAACCAGCTACATTCAGATAACCTGTCCTCATACATGTGTATAGAATGCAAGATGACAGAGGCTACATATCAACCCATACAACTGTCGGCATGGAAGCTGCTAGTTCTCGTGTCATGTCTAGACACCCACGGTGCCACCTCTCGTGAACCATTTAACCCCGAGGTTGAGTTCGGGCCCACGTTCTCGGCATACCTCTTCTATACCTTGCGCAGTACCGAGAAGTTGTCCAATTTGCCATTCTTACCTCATTGACTGTACGGGTGATGGATTCTGGCTCTATCCAGTCTCAACCACATATTTACATATTTACAACACTCAAGAAGACGGCCCCCCTTCGCCTTTCGTCGACTCTGGAATTCTCGAGTCCACCACTACGATAATGAGCAGGCTCGGAAAACATCATCTGACCCTTGAGCTGGAATCTAA